AAAGGAAAAAGACACTTAATACTTGAAACAAATACATCCATGAGAAAAATCACCGGTGGCAGTGTGACACATGCCATATCACTCCACACAGCCACCCAGAGGCAGGCAGTCCTTGGACATTCTGCAGCTGCCCCACTTCATGACAAGGCAGAACAGCCACAGCCCTCCACACATTCAGCCTCCCTTGCAACCCCTGGCTAACAAAAACAGCAGCACCCCTTATTGTCAGCAATTTCTGGTGTGCTGGAGCAGATAGTATCCCACTTCTGCTGCAGAAAGAACTCCAACTACTACAGTTAAAGGGTTCTCTCTTAAAAAGATACTGTGAGCTCTTCTAATTTAAGGTTTAATCTTATTTTGTCCCTCTCTGCAGTCCAAGAGTTTGTTGTTCCTTCAGTTTCACTTTACTGCAGTGCTCAAGGGCTGGCAGAGAAACAAATCTCAAAAATAAATTAAGAAAAAATAATTAGAATAAAAAACACTGCATTGCCTCTCTGTAACTACCGGTAAACCTGGCATTTCACTGCCATGTATTTTGCTTCTCATACCATTAGACAAGTACATAAACCATGACTATATAGTGAACTTATGTGGTTTTAATTACCAGATTTCCATACAGTAGCTCACTTGGGTTTAGAAAGCGACTTCCTGATTGATACAACACTCACCAGTAACAAAGACATGTCACAGATTCATGGAGGGTAGGCTGGTTCATACATTGTAAAATGAAAGTACCTTCTAATCAAATCAGACTAGAAGAGTGGAGAAAGGCTGCCAATACAAAAACCCAAACACAGAAGCATTACCACAGTTTTGAGTAATGAATAAAAGGAGGAAGTATTTGTTCAATTCAATTTGTTCAATCAAAAGTTCCACGTTTTTGTGCATTAGTGTCCCTTGGAAGTGTTGGGGAGTGGGGGAGGAGGAACACGTGACAAGAACAACTCCTTAAAATACTCCTCAAGGAAAAAAAATCAACTTCCTGAAGTTAAAATACACTTCTGGACTGCATTTGATTGGCTGAGAGTCTAAAATGGATATAATCATAATTAGTATTTGCTATTGATATTCTTGAATTTTTATGTGTAAATGCAAACCTCAATTAATGCAAATAATTTTTGGTAAATCATTTAAAAAAAAATAATCAAACTTAACAGTCAACCAATTGTTACTATACTATGCCAAAGAGATCCAGTTTGGACAAGTTTGTACGTTGTAACTAATGTAAGCAGGACTTACATAAGCAGCAAATAACAGAACATACTTTACAGACACCAAAAATTTGTTTTGAGAATTGTTACTTAACCTGTTTCATTAGATCTGTTTTAAATGTAAGAATAACATGCTTGCTTTGTTGCCCAGGTCATCCAGTTCTCTCTCTCGCACTGTAGCTTCCTGCCATGTTCACCCTTGCTCCTTTATCAACAAAGTCCACCGTAATTTTCTTTCCCCTTAGCTCACAATCTAAAAGTAACCCTTTGTTCCTTGTCAGGATTTTTTTTTTTAATGCATTTAAAGCCAGACAAAAATAACAGCAAAAACCAAAACCACCACGCCTGATACTGCCTGTGCATGTTCTGCATTTGTTGAATTCAGGATGACCTTTGTCTGGAATTGAAATTCAGAGCAGATACCCCATCGCTACTTTTAATTATGCTTATGAGAAGCATCTCCTCCTTTAATGCAATGACCATCTCTCCACTTGCGAGCGAGGCTGGTATCAATGATTAGAAAAGCATATTGGAGCTGTTTGTGATTACTCTTGCCAAATTATTGGAGCCGACTCATTTATTAATGCTTAATGAAATACAAGAAAATGTTGCTGCTATTTCACTTACATGGTTTGGAGAAGACAAATCTTGAAAGCAGATTCAGATCAAAGAGGAACAGTTTATTTACACAATCGGTTCAGAAAAGATTTGCTTTTTCCAGGTGATATCAGTACGAAATGCACACAGCTTGTGAATAACTGTAAGCCTATTGCAACAAATGGGATTTTTTTTTCCCCCCCCATCAACTTCAGCAAAGCAAGATAGTGTCTAAATCAACAAAACATTCTGTGTGGTCTCTGAATTCTCAAACTAGTCAGGTAGACATTTGGTAAATTTAGGTACTCTAATCAAATTATCAGTTCTTCCAAAGACGTTGTCACACTACAACAGTGCTTATGAAAGCAACAAAGGACTGGGAGTAATGATAGCTTCATAGGCAAAGAGGAATGCATACAAAACCAAAACACATTGTAACAACTGAAGTTGTAACATCTTGTAGTAATTCCTGAATGCATAGTGTTTATCTCCACAAGTATCAAAGCAGATATGTATTTTAAATTCTGTGACTAATAAGCTGTACTTGCCATAAGTAACTTATTTTCCTCACAGAACCTTTCACTAATAAGTAATTGAAAATTTGACTCAAATCAAAAATAGGAAAAATATTCAAATATGAATCTGTATCCTGCCCACCACCCAATTACTTGCCAGCAGACATTTCAAAATACTTATTTTGCAAGTTAATGTAATGCAGAAGAATAACAGTGGCCATCAATTTAGATTAGTTCTGATCTGAATGCTGTAACTCTCTCTTTCATTTCCAATACATTCATTATTCCGTCAGTGCCTATGAGAAGCACTGACACAATGGCACCGAGAACCTCCTAGTCTCAGATTTACAACTGCAGTGGGAGGGACAAAAGGGTTCAGGGAGACTTTGAATATCTGATGATTGTGCGAATGCATTTTACAAATAGATGCAGCGTTTGGGGTCCTGTCCCTTCTTTGTTTCCATGGAAACAAATGTAAAATTAACCCCCCTCCCTCAGTAAGTTAGTAACATCCACGTGCTTTAAGTTGGGTCTTTAACTTGCAATTAGGAATTACTGGTTGGTGACGTATTTTTTGCATTCTAAGATCTGATTCTTGCCTCAGCCTAGAAGCAAAAGTCTCAAAGCAGGCCATTAGAGCTGGATGGAAGACTGCTGTCAGCTTAGCTGGCGAACTCAGTTCACTTCATAGTACTCAAACGTTCTCATGGCTGAAAAACAGCCACTCAAGCATACATCTCCACCATCAGCTTTGGCACAAAGGCAAACACAGGTCATCTTGACAGCAACCTTACTAAGATTTTGTTTGCATAATCGAACTACAGAGTGGGCGCTAATAAAATTAAATTGCTGCTCATTTTGAAAGTAGGGCTTGTCCTACCATTCTGCCTTTAGCATGACATTTATCAAGAGATAAGACAAACGTACTTTGAGAAGCTGTCAGGAAAAGTAGTACTAAAATTAAAATACTACGAAGATAACCGAGAGGAAAGCATCAGACAGCTGTGAAAATGATTTCAGAAGACATATGGAAGCTCTGTTAGATTATGATCTTCTAAAACATTCATCTATTGCTTTTGGGACAGAAAGCTAAGAATATATGAACACTCGAGGCTCCAAACATTCCATTCAATTTAAAAGGTAGCCATTCAGAAGCAGACTGAGCTGTCAATTGAATAAATAATTTGAGTCAATGCACAGAAGAATCATTTCCTAGCAGTTTGCGTGGGTTTTGGTTGCTGGTTTTATCGTTTCTGTAAAGTTTCAAAGCGATGATTGAGTACAAATGCATTAAAGAAAATCCTTCTCCCATTAAAAGGGAAACCTCTTGACCTTATGTAGAAAATTATGTTTGCTTCCAGTAATGGCAAAAGTATATCTTCACAATGAGTATATTTTGATAATTAATGTCAGCAGGATCAGACAACAAAAAGTAAACAGATCTCATTTTCTCATTCCAATGTATAATGTGATTTTAACACTCTTTATCACTCAAGATTACTGCACAACTTGCCAAATACTCACATGAGTATCTCTTCCTCAAAGTATTTGGACAACTGCAACCTCACCTGTGTAATTCATGGACATGGACCTTTTTTCCTCCATTTTGCTACAAAGCAAAAATTGAACCAAAGCAGATGGCCACTGAGGTACTCTCCAGAAGTCAGTACTAGACTTACTCCAAAGTCTATGTGAAACTTAGAGATAGGTGAAAAAACCCAAGCATTTAGAAAAACAAGATGTTTTGTCAGCTTCAGAAGCAGTGCACTAAAGAACAGCTAGCTACCACACATCTCCACAGTCTGAAAAGACACATGCCTTTAACAGTTAAGCACTATCCAAGAAGTATTATCTAGAAGACCTCCAGATAGACATTAAGTCTCAACGTGCACACACTCAATAGGTATCAGTCTCAGATTGACTGCACAGAAGCTCACAGACTTGGGCTATTCAAGAGATGCAGATCATTTTAAAAATTCTGAATGTAAACAGCACAGTGGTCAAGTCAACAGAATTTTCCATTTGTGCATTAACTCCAGTTATCAGATTTTGACACCACGACATTTCAAAAGCAGCAAAGAGGAAGTTAATGAAGCATAACATTTGGATTCTGTAGGTTTTACTTCAATTTTGAATAAGGACTAAAACTTCTCTAATTGAACTCAATTTATGGACTATTACTAATTATTCACAGAAGCATTAAAATCTCCCTTTTTAAAAAAGCACAAGTTACCATGTTAATTACCAGGTCAATACTTCTGGTTTTGTGCACCTACAGGAAATACTTAAGTCCGAGTTAACTGACTAGATTTCCCTTTTTAGGAATACAGAAAAAAAAGGGATAATTTTCATCGTTGCTAACCTCATCCTGAGATATGCATCTAAAACAGGTCAGAGGAATCTGCTCCAATGTGCTCACTTATCTCCACTCATTACAAAAGAAGTCAAGGCAATCGGTTGTTCTACATATATTCCCATCAAAGGCATTAAAACTTAAACAAAATGAACATCATCTTTAGTAACTAAGTGCTTTCTTAGAAACCTACAGCGTCATGACTTTTATTCAGAATTATCAAGGTCATTTAAAGATATTCCTGAGGAACACAATGAAATATTTTCAATATGATATGGGCTATTTAGCATTCATAGATCATAAATCTACTTTTAGTTTTCTTACCGTGACAGGAACCATCCACTTCTTCATATCCTACGCTGCAGATACATCGTCCAAGAGGCACAAGCCAATCCCCATCTGCTCCACAATACAATTTTGGAGTATCACGTTCCTCAGCACTCTTCACACAGGAGCCCCGCACTTCCACCAAAGAGGAAGAATCAACCCTTGGAATAGTATCAGGAAACATGGCCAAGTTACGGACTGTGAAAGGGCACTTCTTGTAATAAACACGGACTGAGACCAAAGCAATACATGCTCCAATGTCCTGAAATGCAAGATAAAAGCCTTTCTTGTTTATTGGCCCAACCTCACGAACTTCTGTGTTGAGTTTAAGAATGCGATCACCCAAGTCCATCTGAGTAAAGCTCTCATCAGCTGCAATAGTATCAATTTTAGTGTACTGGTTTGGCTTGAATTTTAATCCATGAGATTCATCTGATTCCATGTAGTAGAGATTAAAAGTTTCCTTGCAGGTTCCCACTACCCACGGAATGCTGTTGCAGTCCCTCAGGGTAAACTTCATTTCCACATAGATTTTCTGTGCAGCATCACGGGAAATCCAGTTTGTTCGAAGCCAGTTGTTTTGGTTTGGTTCCATCACATTGCACACCTGGTACGTATGAATGGGATGATTGTGTTCATCCATTTCAGTAATGGCATCCCACTGAAAAGAAAACAGACTGTTTGAAAACCAAGGAAAACATAAATTTTGCTATCTACAGAGCCAATCTCAACACACATAAATGTGAGTATATGAAATCATGGCTGGATTAAAAACAATTGTTTGTGTCGAGATTAGAGTAATAATAGTAGTTAGAAGCAAATACCAGCTACAGAAGTAGCTACAGAGTTTTCTACAGAGTAGAAAAGTTTTCAGAAATTCAATAATAAATTTCTATGAATTAAAAAAAAAGTCTCTGATCAATGTGGCTTCAATAGAAGATAGAAATAGTGGCCATAATTGGTCAGTACATCTATACATAGACTCAGATGTACATAGTGGCCTGGAGGTGTTCAAGGCCAGGTTGGATGGGGCCCTGGGCAGCCTGGTTTAGCATTAAACGTGGAGATTGGTGGCCCTGCATGTGGCAGGGGGGTTGGAGATTCATGATCCTTGAGGTCCCTTCCAACCCGGGCCATTCTGTGATTCTGTGATTCTGTATAAGCTCTCCTGATTTACACAATTATTGTAGACACAGTTAAATGTACAGGTAAGAGATATTTCTGGCTCCATAGACGCTGTATTACACTCATTTCTTCTTAAATAAAAAATAAAGATCTATCACAGGCATCATATCATTTATTTACCCCTACAAATTCTCTTATAAACTGAACATGAAATAGGAATTATCATTTTTATTTCTTTAAGTTGTGTGCATCAATATCACTGAATTGTTCTCAAATGCTGGTGGGAACCTATGCCATAAGGCCATTGAAAACATGCATCTACAAAAAGCCATCCATTTTTGTACTAAATACAAAAGAATTATTGAACATCTAACATTACATAATCTGCTACTCTAAGGGATTGCCAACAACTCCAATTCAGTTTGAATAAAATTGAGTCAGCTTTCAATAAGCACTCACAATATCAATATAGCATTAAGCATTGATTTCTTTCTTACAAAAACAGAGCTAGTTGTAGTTTCATACTCCAAAATATTGCACCCCACTATAAATTCTTAGTGTGGCCTTCTGGATATACTGTTCTCTTATGGCATTCTAGATATTACCTCATATAGTCAACAATCCAAAAGCTTGTTACTAAATATTACTAAAAACACCCAACTATGATGTTTTAGTAGAATGAAACATGAAAATACACACTATTTGTGTTCATAGTTTAGCATATTTGGAACAGATTATTTATAAATACACATTCACTTAAAATAATTTGCCTGCTAAAAAGAAACATAAGGTTAAAATTGAGACAGCAGTTCAAAGTTGAAAAGTTTATGCAGCATTTTTGCTCTTACCAACTTCCTCATCCTTGCAGTTAGTTCAGTTAAATGCACAGTCTGGCATTTAAGAATGTTATGTTAATTATATTCAGGTGTACACATGTAATATGTCAAAGCCCATGTTCAAATTATGCATAATATGCAATTCTGAGTACAATAGCAAGATAAGAACCTTGCACATTATTATTCAAACATGAATTCAAGTATCTTTAGCCCGATGATACTTCCAAGCCACAAAGTTTTCTGCTTTAATACAGACAATATCAATATGTTCTACTTCAAAGTTAGACTTCTCATGATGCACTTTGACTACTTAAGCTGCACAATTTTCATAATGTCTACTTCGCTCAACATTACGAGGAAGGTTGGCCCTTGGCCTTTCAGACTGAACAAAATTAGGAATTGAGTTCAGTTTAAAATTTTTAAGAAAAAAAAAATTTAAGTTATCTTTTAGAAACATGGTGAAAAAAATACTTCATCATCTTATTCTGTAAAAAGGTAATGTATTATTAAGAGGTAAGGTCTTCATTTTTAGAAACATCCCCAGCCATCAGATGAATTTTAAGGCCCATGTCAAATTGCAAATATGTACAAAGCCTGCTGGCTTTATTTTTTGAGTTTCAGAAACATCACTTGTTCCTAGATGAAAGTGAGGGTATAACATCCCCATCTTCAATAGCTTTCACAGAAACAAAGCATGGATGTGGGTGGAGAATTTACCCTTTCTTCTGCAGGAGCAAACTGATCCATCATGCAGGAGGTAGCAAGAAAGAAGTAAGTACTCTATGGTTTCATTAGACTGCAAACTTGGCAGCTGGAATTCAAGTGGAAATGGAATTCTAAATGGAAACGAGTAAGGCCTGAAAAGTTAGATTTCTGATTACTGCAGTGTGTATTTGGGAATTACCCAGAACAATAAGCTCTCTACAAAAGTCAAGGTCTTTACAGACTGTAACTTTTGAGATTTTCTCTATCTATCCATCACAACACGAGCAATAGCCTCAAGGTCTTATTTTAAAACCCATGAAACATACTTTAAAAAATGATTGTTGGACAGGTAGTAGTCACTGGCTGTTTGCTACCTCTTAAGAGCTTCTTTTATTTCTAGGTCTTATGACCTGTGTGAGTCTAACATACATTCAGAAAGGACAAATTAGATCAGAATTCCTGCCAATATGAGAACAAATTCAGATCTGGTCAAAATTGCACAATGGGAGACTAGTTACCACAGTATTCATTTCTGAACCATTGCTTCTAAATTAGATTTTGAGATACAACCAAAATATGTCCTGTATCAAGTAATACATAATATACCAAGTAAATCTTGGCTTTGAGAAACAAGAAAAGGACTTGCATTCTCTGACGGGCCTGCCCTCTCCTCTTTTGCCAAGCACGTGGCACACAGTTCGAACTAAGATTCCACAGCCAGAAGGAATTAATAAAAGCGTTTAATTAAAATACATACTCTAAGCCTTAAAATCTTGGCAGTAAAGATACTTTACTCCCAGCTGCCCTCCCCTGACACAGCTCCATGCCGTTCCCTCGGGCCCAGTCGCTGTCACACAGAGCAGAGCTCAGCGCTGCCCCTCGGCTCCATGCGAGGAGCTGCAGCCGCCATGAGGTCTCCCCTCAGCTCCTCTGCTCTGGGCTGAACAAACCACGGACCACATCCGCTCCTCTCTCACCTTGGCCTCCAGACCCTGCCCCATCTCCGCAGCCCTCCTTTGGGCGCTTTTGGATAGTTTTCTGCCCTTGTATTGTGGCACCCAAAGCTACCCCCACTGTTCAAAGGGAGGCCGTGCAGTGCACAAGAGAGCAGGAAAACCCCTCCCCTTGCCCAGCTGCCGGCGCTGGTACTGATGCACCCCAGGATACGGCTGGCCATAATTTTGCCTGGCACCAAAGTGAGACTGCTTGTCCTAAAGATCCCACTGCTTTCATTCTTGCCTTTCTTAAAAACCGGACAACCTTTGCCAGCTACCAGACTAAGCAGATGTCACTTCAGCAGAAGCCCTATTTGCGCCTGAAGGATTCACTATGGTGTTTTATTTTCATACGCAACCCTGCAATAAGAAGTTTTTCCAGTTAATAGGGGTAGTTACATCAGCTAGTTGGAAATGTTTATAATGGGCTGATATTTATATAATTTCACGTGTAGTGGAAAACGCTTCTCCTACAAGTTGTCACATGGATGGGTGAATTAAGAGTGGGTTCTTCATCTCAGCCACCAATCCCAGCAGTAGCAATGTAATCTAGGGCAGTAGTTTTAGCATCTTGCACAACACCAGGTTATTTTTATTGATATTTTACTTCGTTCAAAGAAAAAAGATACTTGGTAGCAGCTACTTAGGTCCAAGCCCTTAGTCAGTAGGGTAATTAACTGAAGAGTCCATCTACCCTTAGGACTTCTGCTGCATTTGCTTCTGTTGCAGAAAATACATAGCACGCATTAGATTAACTCTGCAGAACAACGACTGTGACTCAGATTTAGGGGAAAAACTATACAACTATGCAAGGTCTGACTGTAGAACAGTTGATCTAAGCCTTAGGTAGCCAGGATGATTAAGAAAAATTTCAGTGCACTCAAAAATGCAAAATCCACAATGGTGACTCACTTTCTGATTATTGTCATGAAGCACTGAACAAATGCAAGAATGAGCTTCTACTGATGGTCCAGGTTTCCTTTGCTCTGTACATTATTATGGCATGTGTGAATGCTTTCTTAAAAAAAGTATAATCTAGTGAGATTTAAGAGATGAACCCTGGGTAAGACCAACTTCAGAAATAATACTTCTCATCACTTGCTTGTGAATTAGACTGTGAGATCAGAAAAGGACAGTCCCGGTCCAGCTTTATAGAAGATACCATAGTCCTTTCAGAAGGAAAGGAAATCTTGAATCCTGGACATAGACCATTATACATATACTAGAAGAGATCAAAACTCTAAGAAGCATGGTCACGTTTCAAAATACCTTATCTGATATGGAGCTCAAACTACCAAGGCAGTCAATCCATATGGCCACAATCTAGGCAGCATCATAAGTCATCAAAGGAAAAGATATTCACGGTGTAATGTTTTTGCTGTCTGGATACCACAGAGAAACTATCAAACAGAAGCCAAAAGTAATGACACAATCTCTTCCATTCTAGACCAAAAGGTAGCAAAGCACATTTGGAAAAGGGATACACTGAAAAATTTCACATGCATGCAAACACGCATCTCCTTGGGGAGCCCAGTTACTGAAGAAATAGGGGAGGACACGTCCTAGCAGTTCCTCAGCCTCCCTTTCACTACTACTTTCACTACTCCTTATCTCTGTATCACTTGAGAACCAGTCACTCCAGCCTTTGCGATGAGCCCTGAGATTGTTCCTGCTACAGGTCCTGTGGCTGTTCCGAGTATTGTGATAAAAAAAATTGCCCCCCAGGAGCACCACATCCAGAGGGACAGCCCTGTGGTCACTCCACAGAGACAAGCACCATGGTTACTCCAAACCCTGCAACAAACAAAAGAACTTGCTCCACAGTCACAGTGAGTCCAATGCCATCCAAGCTGAAACTAAGACAGATGGCTGTGCATGGCCATCCAGAACCTGGCTTGTCCTTCATGTTGCAGTTGTCACTGTTGAAACACATCACCCATTCCTCTGTTCACATGCACTATTTGGTGTCCATCAGTGTTCAGCAAGTGTTGTGCCATGGG